AGAGACTCGAATCTCTGAATTAACAATTTTATCGTTCGAGTCTCTCATACAGAGACTGTGAGAGATCCATAAAAACACCTAGGCAATAACTGAGAGACTATGAAAGATTGTGAGAGACGCTCTCAGAGACGCTAAAAAACTCTGAAAGACTCTGAGAGCCTGGAGAGAGACTGAAAATTTTTGTCTAGAGGCCATTGATTAAGTTTTAAAAGACTTTTACGATATTGGCAAAATTCACTCATTCGCTGTAGTCCTTGATAGGGATACACGGGCTGGTTTTATTTTTATGTAATTTCGTATATTTTATATGTATGTATAGACAAATGTTTCTACCTTTTTTATTCATCATCTAAGCATTTAATTCTTTTTTTGTTTTAGACCGTTGCAGGAATAATTACCTATTTGGTCTTTGCGTTAAGTTTAAGTAGTGATCAACACGATTGGTAGACTACAATATATTCGTATCAACTAGAAGAAGATCCTTGGGGAAGGACAAATGAGTGGGCTAAGAATTTCTTTAGATTGACACAAATAATCTTCTATATGTGCAGCCAATTGTAATTATGTTACCTTATTAATTAAGATGATCATTTGTTCACGAAAACCACAATTTTACTGAGCTTTCCCTATATGTAGATAGTAAATTGTACGAAGGTTACAAAATTATCCTCTTCAATGAAAAGTGTCCCATAACTTACCTAACGATGTTTTGTACTTGTTTAAACTTTAATATAAAAGCTTTGTATCTTGCGGGTCAAAAGGTCACTATCAGATATTCCACCCTCTTCTGAACACCGCCCCCGTTAGATGCCCCCTGGTCCATAATAATTAATTATATATAAAATGTGAGTGTATATCGATTTGTCGATTTAATAAAACAATTCATTTTAATTATTCCTTGTGAGCTTTTTTGAAAAGCCGAATTTGGAATTCTGTACCTATAGGCTATAGGGAAAGGCAATAAAAATTGTAAAATTTATCAATAGAGTGTACTATATTAACATAATTTAATTTTACAAATACAAAACTTATCTTTAAATTAAGGAAGGAAATAATATACAAGAGCAGATAAATGTAAGACAGAAGTGGTAATTAAGAGCTTTTGGTATGAATAAAATTGCATCTGTGAATTTAATTACCTAAATAAATACTTTGTTAAATATTATGTACTATATGTGTACTTGGATGAATAGTCTGCTTAAAGGCATCGACATCTTTTAGTCTTTAATTAACAAAAAAATGATTGGAGAAGAAAATAATAATTTAACAAATTAGCGTTCGTCGGAAATTATTTTATACACTTTGTACAATGTAATTTAATAACGAATAATTTAGTTGTTGTACTAATTTCTCTTACTGTCGAACGTTGTAAACGGTAATTAAGCAAAACAGTTAAGAAAATTTTATTACAGACGAAGAGCAGGGTTGCGAGAAGCGACGAAATTAAGGAGTTCTTCGCTATCTTCGCAAACGAATGGTTTAACGTGATGGCAAGCGACGTCGTGCCATTTAAGACCGTCATTATAGAAATTGTTTAAAATTGCAAGGCAGGATTCATCATTACCCTGAAACAAAGTAAATATAAGCTTTACTAAAATTGGATTAGGAGTTACTTAAAATTAAATATTACAATAAAAAAAATCAAGAAATATGTAATGTCAGATCTCGTTTAACAAAAGATCAGGAAAAAACAAAATAAAATATCCGAATATCTTATTCGGTAAATACTTATTTAACTGAGAAGATAGAAGTTGTGTGACACACAGACATACAGACGAAAGAATGAACAAAGAAGACAGACCGAAACTAAAAAGGTTCCTAGTCGTTTAGTACACAAACCCAAACATCATGACGATTTCTATGAGAAAGATAACGAAAACTGGAAAAAGCAGGCGATTTTCATTATTTAGGAAACCAAATAAGTCAGGACGGAATAGCGGTACGGACATAAAACTAGAGATGTGCAAAATGTTTTTTTTTAAGTATTTAAATACAAAATGCAAATACTTTTTTGATTTGTTATTTCAAATGTAAAATACGAAATAGATTTCCCTTTTGTATTTTTTGTACCTATTTAATTTTCTACATTTACTTCTGCTAAAGATCAGAGCCGAAGCAGGGTTCCAAATAATTTTATTGATGTAAAATCAACATCAATTGTTTTATATCAAAATATTTACAACCCCATTTTGCTTCTAATCTTTTGCACATTGTAATAAGAAAAAAAAATGCAATCCATAGTTTCTTTAGCTTTGGGTTCATCTAACAAGTGAAGTTTTCCGAATCGTTTTCTAAGAATTTTGGATTATACGTATTTATTAGCACACTACAATATCTTGTAGTTTTTAATTTTACACAGCTGGCGTATATCAATTCGATATTGTTTTGCGAACTGTTTTGTCGTAATTCATAGAATTTCGTAGTTCCTTGCTAAAGGTACGATAATTGGTGATTTGACAGGTACTGATATCAATTTGGAACTACATGAAACTTGACATTGAACCCGGAAAATAATATGGATCCAATATTTTAGATTATCCATTTCCAAGGAGTTTAGAATTTTTTAGGCTCTCTTAGTTAAAGAATTAGATTGCCCCCTTTTAAGTTTCTAATACCTTCAATAGTCAATGTAAGCAACTTTCATTCCTCATTTTATATAATGTTTGATCGGTAATACTAGAAAAAATTTTAAAGGCAAAAATGTATTTTGCATTTTACAAATAGAAAATACGTTTGAAAAAGTATTTTAAATGAATTACAAAATGCTTTTCTCAACAAATCGCATCTCTGCATAAAACAAAGAAGAGGATGATAATGAAAATATCGCTGATGCAGATGGTAAAGTCAATAAGAGAGAGGATAGTTAGGATGGCAGGATGAAGGACTAGATAGAGACGTACAAGAAACAACAACACGAGTGAAGAAGCGTGGAAGGTTAGCTCAGAAAGAATTGAATTGCCTGTCTTCGGACTGATGACCGTATCATGATGATGATGATGATGATGCATAAGAATCCTTACAAATTTTCATGAGGGTTTTACTGTTGGAAAGAACAAATTACGATGAAATATCTTAGGCTCTCATGGCCTGTGTCTACTTTCAGTAAATTATTTGGCGTGTTTGATGGTTACACCCCTGAGATAGTCAATCGGTTAGAGTCCTCTTTACAACATTTCATAAGTAATAGCAGCTAGCACCTGTCTCAGTGCGATTGCCACCTTGAGGATTGCTGTCGCAGTTTCGTGTGAAACTTGGAAAGGCAACTCCAACCGAGGGTCCATCTAGGTTTCAGTAGGTAGAATTCACATGGCGATGAATCCCAGTAAGTAATCTCATAATTATTAAGAATGGATTGAAGACTGTGTCAAGATTAAGTTTGGACTTATGCTTGAAGTTAAGATTCACTCAGTCTCATCGTAAAAATTAAGTACATAATGAGTAAACTGCGAGCGAAGTAGGAGATACATACAGGGTTGCTAAAAGTTAGGTAACATACAAAAAAACCCACGTCCAAACGACCAAAACTGACCATATATACGTATATATTACGCGTAACGTTTCGCATTTGTTGAAGGCTTTTTCCATTAGCGCTTTAATTTCCTTTATGAATACCTATTTAACAATAATTTGAATACGCACTTGTGCAGCCTCTCTGTTATCGGGCTGTGCTTGTCCAAATCCTCCGGTATGACTCCAATCGCCGGTGTTTCTCTGGCTGGTGGGACCAATTTTGACTCCGGAACCGGACCAGAACCATCCGAAAACATTGGCAGGTTGCAGATCGGGACGATCACATCCGGCAAAGTTGCACTTGCGACCGGATGTCCAGATGTATCTCACACCGCCGCGCGCAATTCTCTGTTTTATGAATTCATTTTCTTGGGGAGTTTCCAAGGAAACAGCGTCCATACAATGTCTTCTGCAAATGTTACGGGCGTCTAACCAGTCAACCTCTAAGTTTCTTGTTGGCGGATGCTCCCAGCTGAAGAAATAGGAATGGGCCACACCTCGAGCGTCTCTGTATGTAGCATGGCGAACACCTAAAGAATTTTCTTTTTACCTTTTTTGAATTGCAAAGGGGAAGGGAATTTCCTCTTCTGATAACACACAACCCGTTTATATCAGATTTTTTCGTTAACTTTTGGGGGAAACAGGCAAAGAAATGTGAACTTATAATAAATACTTTCTTTTATTGATTATAAAAATAAAATTATAGCATTTTGTTTAAGATACTCTAAGAGACACGAACAATTTAAATATTAAAAAAAATTAATTGTTGAATGTAGGCTTTCACGGCCGGCGCCTAGTTGATCAATTAAAAAATTGTGCAATAATCGTTTTTAAATATTTTTTGTTGCTATAAAAATTCAAACAATATTGTGTCAGTTACACATGTAATGTAACAACAGTAGTGTAACATACATTTCTATTGCCTTTACAATTTTTCAGAACATTTTGACGATTCTTCAGAAGTTGCACAATTACATAAACCCTTATTCAAATACTAGGCACTGCTAATTGTAAGATGAGGGTGAAGGGTGCAGACGAGGACTAACTGATGTAAATTCGTAAAATCTAATGACATTTTTTCGTCTCCACTATTCGTCTTTTTGTCTATGTGATTCTAATTTTTTTTATCTTGGATTTAAAAAACTCCCCGTTGTTCAACCTTTGTTGAACATCATACCTTACTCAATAATCCATTTGTGTTTTTATGTTAGTAGATACGTAGTAATATTTCAACTAACTTCTGAAGAAGTCACAGTACAAAGTGACAAAGAATTATCAATGCAAGAAGGACTATTTCATGATATTCTTACGATTTGCACAGCTTCTAGGATCAGGTAAAGCCAGTCTCCTCTGTGCAGTTATCAGGACAGCTCCCACGACTAGGAGCAAAATTTCTCTCAACATATTGAATCTGTAACAAAGGAAAAAGTATTTTATGAACATATATATTCGAGTCATGCTATGTGTTCAGAGTATAGACCGTTATTCTTGATGAAGGTAGTAAAGCTCCTGTATGCAATTTTAGAATACTTTGCAAACATACAAGGCGGCGTTCTGTTTGTTTAATAGTGGACCCTTCGAGGATGGCATCAATTAAACTAGTTTATAGAGGTAAAGGTCCAGGAAGGATCCTTTACGATCTCCAATAGTTATGCATGTGAACAGTTTATGTTCAGCAAATTAGCCCACGCGGTTCACAGGGATAACAGACTCAGATAGCAATATGCTTATCGTAGTAATTTTCACCACGTATAAATACTTTGTTCAGATTTAATCAATTCAATTATTATTAATTCAACGTTCCAATTATTATCGTGTAATTAACGCACATAGTGTAGCATTATTGATATAATTTGCAAGTGTATTTATCCAATAAAAGTTAGTTTAAAGTTTCAAAACTCTTTTTAAAAACTGGTTTAAGTACACTGAACGTTTAACTCAATACAGTTTCATTTTTATTATGGCGTGTTTATTTTATGGGTTTAATGTTTAGAAAGTGACGTTTGTTGATTTGTTGATGTAGCGGATTTTTCACAGGTTATAAACATCCCTCTCTTCAAAATGTTTGAGTTTGAAAATTTATCAATGGTGACATTCGTCACACCCTTGGCATTTTTTCCTAGTTTGGTGTTTTAGATATAAGCAGTGACCAAGGACCAAAGACCAGTTAGTTATTAATAATCATTCGTTTGGAGATTTACTCTTTATAAATATTTGTAAATATAAATCGAATAAGTCTACTTCGCTGTTATTCTTCTTCTTCTTCCATCCCAAAATGAAGTAACACGTCTTTTCGATTTAACAGGTGTGCTGATATTCCCTTTACAGTAGTAAGTTCCAGAATATCTACCTGAGAACATTTTACATTTCCAGAAAATCACGAAGACATGTACGAGTATTTTTTTGCCTTAATACTACGAAAATTTCTCATATTATACCGTATATTTATTGCGAATATCTTTGTATGACCATCATATAATTTATTATTTTACTTGTTTCTACTAAATCCTTTAGCTAATACATCAAAAAATAAGTGTGAACAATTAGCAGAATATGTTTTAAATAAGGAAACATTATGATTCAATTTGTTAGTAAACAACATGAATGATATTACGACTGAGTTATTGAGAAATTTCATTGAAAAGAACGCAGGAATTTAATAGTTCTCCTGGAATATGAATTGAATTAATGTCTGAGAATGCTTACATTCGAAAGTCAATGAATTATGAGACAAAAACATTTCATTCAGTAATGCGGACAAAATATTCGCATAGCCAGTGCAAAATAAATATCTTGAGGACTTGCGATCGTTTAAATGATATCTTGATAAAGATAAAATGCTTAGTGGTAAACAGGTACCGAAGGAACTTTCTCCGAAAAGTGGAATAGCAACTTTATGACCCTGGTACATTGGAGAAAAACAAACGGAGAAGAAAGTAAAACGAAGATGTTCAATAGGGTATGCCAATCGTGAACTCGATATATGTATTTATATGTTTACGGTGAATGTCCCAGTTCAGAACATAAATCATTTAAGCGAAAGTTAATAATTTTGTGGTATTTAAGGTATCATAATCGTGGCCATGCGTGAGATATGGACAATGGACAGTCATCTCAATGAAGTGACCTTAACGTGGACTAAAAATTATGATCGTAGTCCTGACAGGGTATAAGCTCGATTCATAAAGACCACCCTATGTGGATATGAGTAGGACTGTTGCGCTTTTTTTAAAAAGGACCTGATAAGGAAATAAAAATTAGGACCTAATAGGGAAATTCAAAGAACCCTATCAAAACCTGATCGCAAATTCATTATTAAAATAGGCCAGTTTTAAGATAACCATAGATTTATTGATAAAAATTTTCTGACATCGTATAAAAGGGCTGGTAAAATTGTAATTGACATTTAACAAGAAGGATAATCCGTTTTCTCTTCGATAGTCATCTGATGATATTTAAATTCTGGCCAATCAAGTTTATCCACACTCAATCCTGATCAGAATTTAATTATATTTACCTTGTAAAGCATGAAATGATCTATTCCTGATAAAATCCTAGCGTGGAAAACTTGATTTCATCAATGTTTTACTTTGATAGGATAAACTGTGGACATCCTGATTTGGACCTGATAAGTATATTCTTATATCGGATATCTTTATTCAGTCTTCATTAGGACCTCACTGAGAATTCCTTAAACTGGACAGCCTTATAAGGTCCTCACATATATCGGGCTAACCTGCTTCTAAATAATTTCTAGTCGGGTTCACTAAACGACGACCAAATGGTTTTACTTTTAAATACTCTTTGTTCTGCTGTATTCAAACGGGCTGCAATGAGCGCCAGATTGAACTGTCAAGAGCCCATAGACATAAAAACCCTTTTGGAGTATGCAAATTTGGTAATTTACAAAATGTATACACAATACTGTACCTACTACTCAAAAGCGTTATCTACTTCCGGCTAAAAATCGCTTTCAGATTTTTTCTGTCCTACTTTCGCCGGAAAAAGTTACATAGCGTTTCGACTGTTCCTCAAATTTTTGTGTGCTTTATCAGTTTCTTGTAGGATTTCGATTTTTGTGGATATTTAATACGAAAAAGCTCATGGAACATAATTTAAGTAGGATAAAAAAGTGAGGTATTATATCAAGATAAGGTAGAAAGTGAAATAAGAATATAAAAGGATAGAATAATGAGAAAAAACAAATGAAATTGGGTAGTTTTGTTGAATCCCTATTTTGTGGGGGCTCTGAGCACCGGCCTCACATTATTCATCAAATCGTTACATTACTCTCCAATGTTTAAAAGCTTTAGTACTGCTTCTGGATTAAATAACTTTGAATTTGGAAATAACTGAAGTAAATATAGAACTGTCATCCAAACATCCACAATTACTTGAAATAAAGTCAATCAATCAGGTAGCCATTTACAATACATGACACCGTATTCCATCATCGATGAATCGGCCCTTAGTATTCTGTGTCAGAAGTGGGTTTGACGGATGCTAACGCCGTATGTTCCGGATTCCTTACGGTAACGTATAGGTACGTACTCTTTAAAATGAACATACAGTAGTGTTCAAATATGAGTAACTGTTATCGACATGAAAATAACAACCTTATTTAATAGATTACAATCTTGACAAAGCCCTGAAAGCGAAACATCAATTATTGATGGCATTCCAAATAGTAAACTAGTTTAACCCTATATCTGCTTTGAATTCCCACAAAGGCCATAGGACTGTAAGGATAGTGAATCGGCCCCAGGCGTATATCTAGATTATATTTGAAAGTATATTGGTACTAATGAGATACCTTAGTCCTGAAAATTTTAGACCTCTATTTTGGTATTTTAATAAATCAAAAAAAAACGAAAAATCAGAAAATATTTTTTTTCTCAAAAACGGCTTAACCGATTCGAATGAAATTTATAGACGTTATAGAGATATATAAGGCCTATACTCGGAAAAAATAACAGCTCATAACTAGGGTTGCCACCCGTACTTTATTATAAAGTATTGTACTGCTTCGACTGTACGTACGTTATACTTTACAAGACACATAAAGTACGCAAAAATACTTTATTTAAAGCCTTAAGTAAACATCGTAATTTTGTAAGCGATTATTCGAAATTCAGAGTATTTTTACATCAATAATATTGCACAGAAAAATGGCAAACCACATTTACGGAACAACTTGATTTCCCAAATCTGTTCAAAGAAGTGTCACTTTTGCTGTCCGTTCCGGCCACTTCAGCATTTACAGAAAGAGTATTCTCTGTTATGAACACAAAGTGGCGAGGCGACAGGAATAAAGCTTCATTAAAACTAATTAAAAATGAACTTTTAGTTTACTTAAATCTTTGTTTGCCATGTTTAGAGACTATTAATGTATTTAAGAGCAACAGCAATTTGTTACTGGCTGCTAGGTGTAACAAAAAATATGATTTTAAAAACAAAAAATAAAATACTTTATTTTTATGCTGAGTACTTTTTTTTAACCTTTTAGTCGAGAAATACTTTATGTAAAGCCTGAAAAGGTGGCAACCCTACTCATAACCTTTATAATAATAATTAAAAACAGACGATTTTTTCTAAAATATTCTTTTTCTTTATGATAACATTCTAGAACAATTTTGTTTTCTTTTGTTATTAGATTGATAAACAAATATATAAAAATAAAATAAAATTTGCACGAGTCTCTGATCGAAGCAGCCATGTTCGTCCAGCTTTTTTAAACACCACTGTAGCTATTTTTACACGGCTTAATGACCAGCAGAGACGGACTTAATACTTACTGGTGCGGCTTCCGGAGAAGAACCGTATGTGGGTTATGTATGCAATGCAATGATGACCGAAGCCGCAGTCAGTAATTGATACGACTTTCACGGTCAGTGCTGACCAAACTTGAACCATGTCACCAAGTCCATATATATACATGCATACATTTTTATATATTGTCACTACATGAGCAATCGCATGCACTTTATTTCGTATAATACACTTTATACTTTTGAAGAGGTGAAAAACTGATGGCCATTTCGTTAGCAAAAAAATTTAGTATTTAACAGAATATAATTTAAATGTACATATATAAAATAAAGTCGTTTTAGTTACATTATTTATAACTCAAGAACAGCTTAACCGATTTGACTGAAAATTGGTGGAGAGGTAGTTTACAACCAGGAAACGGACATAGGATACTTTTTATCCCGTTCCCGTGGGGGTGGAGGAGTAGTATAGAGGATTTGCAATGTTTAAATGGAACATATATTATTTGTCGTCAGATTTACTTGAAACTTGATCGTAATGGTCTCTCATTTAATTTCTGTAAGACCTATCTCGACATTTTAAAAAATTCAACCTCCAAAGGTGTTGCAATTTTTGTTTGGGACATACTTTATTTGTGGTTGA